ATTAAGGGGTAGATAAGTTATATGACATAATAAAGGACATGACAGGAACACGAGCCAACTACTTCTTTAAACTCTGCTGGCTCTACCTCACACCACTGGTCTCACTGGTGAGTTGGGATTTAAATGCTAAGATGTTAACACAAAATTCTACAACAACTAAACCATCTCCTTTTGATTTCTCAGGGCTCTTTTATATGTTCTTTAATTGAGTACCAGCCTCTGACCTTTAATCGGTGGTACATCTACCCATCCTGGGCATATGTGCTGGGGTGGATACTGGCCCTCTCCTCCATCCTGCTTGTTCCAGGATGGGCCCTGTATAGGTTGGGCACTGGGACTGGGACCCTAAGTCAGGTGGGATGATTGTGGTATAAGATTAAATACAGTGTGGGAAATAATTATTTTACCCATTTCTGAATTTGAAAGCTTGTTCACTTAGAAAGAAATGAATAGGCTTTATTTGTGTTTTAACATTAAATATATAGTTAAATAAAAATGTATGGTTTTCATGTTTACTGGGTAATTTTTAACACAATAGAAATTATTATAATGATAATAGCTTTTTAGAATTGTTATAAAAGTTTTAAATAATGACCAAATATTTCTCCATTTTGTAGCGTTTCCAGCATCTGTGCCAGCCTAATCTCGAAAATTTAGAGACCCAAGAGAGGGAAACTGAGTTATAGATCATCAGAGAACAGTAGCAGTAGTACACACACAACTGATACAAAATGTAATCTGATCCCAAAAACACCTACAAGTTGGAGCTGAAAATAATGTCACTTTCTCTGTTTTCCTTTACATTCTTTCTCCTTTTTCCACTTTTGTACACATTTTAGTTGTTGTTTTTAGACAGAGGAGCTCAAAGTGGAGAGTGGAGAATTCAGAGAAAAACAAACAATGTAGCAGCACACACACCTCATACCAACTGTCAAGTGGTGGAGAGATGATGATTCCTCTTCCTGGCACATGCTGATTCATGCAAAAGGAGAGTGATCTCAAGCACACCAGGAAATCTCCAGCTGAAAGCTGAAAAATAAAAGAATCAAAGTGTTACAATGGCCTGGACAAAGTCCTGATATCAACCCAACTGAATTAATGTAGCGAAAATATAAGACAGCTGCCCATAAACAGATGTCTGCAAATGTCAATGAACTGAGGCAATGTTGTAAAGAAAAGTGGACCAAAATTCCTCCACAATAATGTGATCTGCCTTTGCAACTGATGCCACAACTGCTGTTGGGCCAGTGGAGAAGAACACTTATGTTTGTGTTACAGATCTGAGTCATTAAAAATGAAAATGCTATTGCATTTTGATATCATATTAAACATCGCACTAAGTGGACAGAGAATTATTTCTGATATGTTTGTATTGTTAATTTTTACTTTGAGTGTCTGTAGAGAAAAGCGCAAACCTGGGAATATTCCACAAGTTAATTTAACCTTAACATCAACACAATTGATAATTGTATTTTGACAGACATGTTATGTAATGGCACCTATCAAGAGAAATACATGCAATAAACATGAATGCTCTGTGTGCACACTGCTGAGAAAACATGGGGAGAGAAGGGGTGCTCCATATCAATAACCCCCCCCCCTCCCCCCCAAATAATCCTAGAATAAGAATATTAGTCAAAAGACCAAGTTTTGGCACTGCACCCACAACTTTAAGCCATCCAGTTACACCAGTCTTCTAATAATATCTCTCATTTCATTCCGACCTGTGCAATGGCCTTGCAATGATGTACAAGTGTTTTTAACCCTGCCCAGTATGTGTACTCCGAGGTGTTTATAGTTCTCCACAATGTTCACATCAACCCCCTGGATTGAAACAGGGGTCAAGGGTTTCCTGGTCCTCCTGAAGTCCACAATCAATTCTTTGGTCTTTGTCATGTTGAGCTACAGATGATTCTGCTCACACAACATTACAAAGGAGTCAACCACAGCCCGGTACTCTGTCTCATCACCCTCACTGATGCATCCAACCACAGCAGTATCATCAGAAAACCTCTGAAGATGGCAGGTCTCTGTGCAGTGGCTAAAGTCTGTGGTGTAGAGGGTGAAGATAAAGGGGAGAGGACGGTCCCTTGTGGTGTCTGTGTTGCTGATCTTCTTGTCAGACACACAATGTTAAAAATTCACATATTGTGGTCTTCCTGGACTTCCAATAATGAACTAATCAACGCCACGTTGATAATCAGCTGTCTATAATTGGTTCTGCACCTCAAAAACATTCAGTAAAGTCACTCTGCAGCCATCAGTTTTTCATGGCCACAAGAAGGTGCTGGTGACTAAGGCCTAAGATTACAGACCATTCCAACAGGGATCGTTTGTCAGATTTTCTGTCTTTATACCAGTATCATTTTTTAAAATATTTAATCATTTTATCTCCCCATTTATACGGAACAAAAAGCCAGTGCACAAAGAGAATTTCTAGAAAGACCAAAAAAGTTTGGTGGACTGTCTCTGTTGAACCTCCACTCATACTACCGGGCTGCCAACTTAAATGCCACTTCTCTGTGGTTAAAAAACTGAAATGGCTCACCCCAACGTGTCTCCCGATTTAATTTAATACAAGTAGGCCACATTCTCTCCCTGCCTTACTATGTGCATCCTGACTATAGTTAACAATGTGAAGAGGAATATAATCATCAGTCAATCTCTGCACATTAAATGCTTGGGCATTCAAAATATTTTTGCCTATTCTCCAATAAGTAATAACCACATTTTTATACCATCTTTGTTGGATACTAAATTTGAGGCCTGACAAATCAGAGGTATAGGTAGCATAAGGGAACTATACATTGAGAACACCTTTGCCATCTTTGAGCAATTATCTATAACGTATAGCCTATCAAGTACATATTTTCTACGTACATTGACCAGCGTACACTATATTACTTTTTGTGCCAGGGGATCCTTGGGGTGGACCAATTTTTGGAACAGCGTGTTTTGGGGTTTGAAAGTCACAGAGATGCAGTGTTTAGAGAAAATGTGTCTGACCGGTTCCAATACTCCTGACACACAAGGGATCACTGAGAGTTTTTACTTAAGCAGCAGTAGTCCTTCTTGTCTTCTGGATCGCCTGGAGCTTTCTTTAGGTGACTTCTCAGCTTTGACAAATGTCCAGCTGAGATAACGAGATTTACTCAGGCCCTTCTTGATATGATGTACAGTGGCTTGCAAAAGTATTCGGCCCCCTTGAACTTTCCCACATTTTGTCACATTACAGCCACAAACATGAATCAATTTTATTGGAATTCCACGTGAAAGACCAATACAAAGTGGTGTACATGTGACAAGTGGAATGAAAATGAATGTGCTT